AGGCCGTTGGCGTTGTGAGCAGGCGTGGTGCGAGGTAGGGACGCACGTCGCGCGATTTGATCTTAAGCACTCTTGGACGAGGTCATACACCGACGTGATACGCTTGAGGAGGCGTGGAATGAGCTCGTCGATCGAGCGGTAGCCCATGCCCTTGTGGAAGACATCAAACGTATCACTGGCCGCGCGGCGGACCTCGGACAGTGCGTTGCAAAGGGCATCTTCGAGCGCCACGACAAACCTCTCGACGAAATCTTCGAGCTGCTTCTTGGGCGAGCACTGGATGACCTCGGCAAGACCCAAGCAGTAGCCCAGGCGCATACCGGCGGGGTTCATCAGGTCGAGGCTCGCGCGCAGGATCGGACCAACCTCGGGCATGACGCAGTACACCAAGTCGCCAAGGAGCGAGATCGACGACTCACGAATGCGCCAGTTGTCGTCGAAGATACCGGCCTCGAGCGCAGGCAAGATGTCCTTTCTGTTCGAAAGCGCGTAGGAATTGAAGACGATCGAGCCAGCGTGCATGGCAACGTCGCGGTAACCGTCTGACTCGTTGGAGAGACTCTCGAGATCAAGCTCGTCCGAGCCATGGCACGAGGTGCGCGAAGTGGCTCTGGCCCTTGGCGAGCATACCACGGGCTTTGAACGAACCCGTGCGGCACTCAGGAATCGAGCGAGCAGCAGCGTCTGCCGGCAGATGGTGTCGAGGTACAGCGCGAGGTCCTTGGCGTCGTTGACCATCGAGCACGTGTTGTCGAAAATAAGTGCAGCCTTCTTCGTCTCCGAGATGCGGTCTGTCAAGCCGCGCAGAAGCATGGGCATCACAAGCGCAAGCAATGGTGCGTCGATTAAGTGCACAAACATCATCGACTGCAGCGCTTGCATCGCGTCCGTCGTCCTGCGGTTCGGGTCTTGCATGTTGGCGATACGAACCGAGAGATATAAGCTCATGATGAAATTACGTGGTCGCGCGAGAGGATCTCTGTCTTGGCGCAGTGCTCGAGCCGAGGTGCGCCAGCATGCCTCTGTCAGCCTCCATGTCATTGTGGCGGTGCATGACCGGTGCGCCAAACGCATCGCACTTGGCCATGAGCGTCGACGCAATCGTGTCGGGAAACTGCTGCATGCCGTTGGCCAGCGCCGCAGCGGGCGCGTCCGAAAGCGGCGAGATGCGACTTGATCTCGGCGCCATTTTCAAAGCGAGCGACAAAAATTGTCGAGAGCATCGGCCAATGTCGCCTTGGCGTCCTCACCTTTGTCGTCACATGGCGCTTTGTGTATTGCCTTTCGGCTCACTTGGCGAGCCTGTACGAGCGTCGAGAGCAAGCATGCTCTTGTGCAACAAGCGCTGCCGACGCGCCTCGAGCTCTTCCTTGCTATTCTCGACCTTCTTGGTTGTCGCGCTCGGGTCGGCGGCTCACTTCCGCGCGAGATTTTCACAGACCTGCGCCTCCAAGCGGCCTTCTACGTCTTGGTGTACAGAGCGTCGTCCGCGCGCAGCCAATGTCGGCGTCGCCGCTTTAAACGTTGGTAATTGTTGGTGTCTCGAGCGTCGTGGCCACGTGCGACTGAATGAGGTTGCTCAAGAGGAGCGCTTCGCGAAGCGTCGCAATAGCACACTGCGCGCCCAAGGTGCGATGCGGCGTGAAGCCACTCATTTCATTTCGACTCTTGACACGATGGGACGAAGCGCCTACGTGACGGAAGGTGTGACGAGTGTCAAGTCAAAGTCCTCGCTCTACAGCCAGTGGCGGCGCTTGTACCAGCACGCAGTTACGATCGGAGGCCTCCTTGTCCTTCCGCTCATTGCCAGCGACGCGATCGTCAACAACTGGGCCATCAACGCGTACCTGGGCGACGGAAAGTTCTTCTTCACGCCGATCGCAGCCGCCCAAAATGCGCAGCAGCTCAACGCGCAGTACAGCTACGCGAAGAGCCTCGGCGTCCACGACCTCTCCAAGATCGGTCAATGGATCGCCAACTCCACCGTTGTCCGCCTCGTCACCGAGAGTGACGACGTGTACGTCATCAACGCCGGGGAGTTTCCCCTGACAGGGGCGACCAACCTGTGTCCGATATTTGCCCAAACGTACGAAATCTCAAGCGTTGGCAAAGTCCGGCTAGCGCTCGCGTCCGACTCGGTGACGTTCTACCGCGGCAACGCGCTCACGCATCTTTTTACCGATGACGCCGAGGCCAACTTGGGCACCTCATCGATGAAGTCCACCGAGTTGTTCGATCTCGGCTATGTGCCTGGACGCACCGGCACGGACCTCCGCTTCACGCACGATGTGTTTGTTCAAAATACTTCCCAGCCGCAATCCCAGATCGTGAAATTTTACCGCATCTTCCCCCGGACGTACTGCACCGGGTGTGCGCCGACAGCGGAGCTCGGGCACAGCGTATGCAATTTTACCTATGTCTACAACGACTCGTTAAAGGCGCTTCGCGTGACCAACAGCACTTTTGTGCCCGGCTCGACGTACTTTCTCGGGCTCATGATCTCGCACACGGCGTTCGGCGTCGCGGCGCTCTACATCAAGCTCACTGCGATCGCGATCGCGATCGGCGGGTACCTCGCCGGTCGACGCACCGTCCAGTGGCTTGAAATCGACCCAACCAGAGTCGACGGAATCGGTACACGCGCTCTTCGCGTCATCCTACCCAAGCTCTTTCCGTACCAGAGCTATGCGCTGAGCTACGCGTCGTTCTGCTACAACTCGGATTTGTTTGTGCTTTTGTATGCGCTCTCGGTGCTCCTCGACCTCAACAGCTCGTTCATCTTTGTCCGCGAAGTCCACGTGTACAATAATCTGGCGCCGCAATTCCTCTACTCGCTGCAAATGTTTTCGCTCTCGAGCCGGCTTCTCTGGGTCAACTGCGCCTTTCTCAAGCTCCTAAAGATATTCTGGAGCTTGGTGAGCACCGCGTCGTACAATGGCCAGAGCGCGCTCATGGGTTTTTTCAATTTGTCGTCGACCACGTCCGTGTACCTCAGCGCCGTCCTCCTCTTTTACGTACCAGCGTACATCGAGTACAACAACTCGGTCGCGACGTCCATTCGCAACGTCAACGAAAGCATCGACGGCATCCGCGTCCGCGTCTTTGACGGGTTTTACCTCCGCGTGCTCTCGTCCGTCGGCGTCGGCCTCGTTCTCAACGTCCTCTTTGTCACGGCCGTGGACCGGCTCTGGAATTGGCGCTACTGGCAGCTGCTCGCGAAAAACTCACTCGCGCGCCAAGCCATGTACAACAGCAGCTCGATCGTGTGCGACTTTGTCGACGGTATCGAGCCCGACGCGGACGACCGCAGCGCTGCATCGTCGATCATGTGCCGCGCGCGCCGCTTGAGCACGCTACAGTGGTTTTTCATGAGCCATTTGACGTGTTTTGGCTTGCCAGAGAAGAAGCTCCGGGCCAAGAAGCTCTCGCTCGTCAATGTCAAGCAGCACCCCACGGCCAATTCAAGCACGCGGTCCAACTCGATCACGTATCCGACGGCGCTGCCGCTGCCTGTATCCGTGCCGGATGATGGTGCGTACATGGTGGTGCAGGACGGCGACCACAACATCCACCTCCTCGACGGCCAGCTCAACGACGTAACGAGCCTCGTGTACAATATCAAGGTCCTCAAGAATACGACTGTCACCGTCAAGTAAGACAGCCGACTGCCTTCCAGACTGCTTATCCAGCTACAACTATAAAAATGTACATGTTTTGCTAGTACGTACTACTACATGTACATGCAATATCTGCCGACATCATGTTCGCAGCCGTACTTTAAGAAAATCACGGTTCCACACCTCGGCAGTAGGTTTACTGTTTATTACGGTATCTCACGAGACGCGCACGCGGGGCCCGGCACACTCGACCAGCGCCTCGCACAACCACAAATAGCCGGCTATTAAAACAGGTTAGCATAGTCGGCTATTAAAACAGGTTAGCATAGTCGGCTTGTCCAGGTGGACTCCCGGTCGGTCGTGTTCGTAGCAACTTGCGCTTGGAAGTTCCTGGAAGCCACTCACGATGGACACAAGCGCCAGCTCGGAGGCCGCGTGATGGCTATGCTTATTTCTCTGTCTAAGCAACACCCCCTCGAGTGTTTTCCTAGTCTTTTTTATTTTGCGCTCCATCACGACACTAAACGTGTCCAGAAACGCCATGCGTTGGTACCACGTGGTCCAGAGCCGTGGATGTCAATCCACCGGAGCAGGCGCTTCTGGCCGTGGCGCGCCGCCTGGTCTCTCGCCGCGCTCAAGTCCACGCGTTTCGACAAGTGGGGCGAGAACGACGCATACAAGGACTCGAGCGCATCAATATCGCCGGCGTCGAGCAGCTTGTTAGCTTTGATGTGGCAGTTGTCGGCCGTCACTGGGTCCGGCACCCGCACCGGTACGTGGTTCAAGTGAAACGCGTCGTGGAGCCAACGGACAGTGTCGTGGCGGTCAGCGCCTGCTGCTGCTGCCATGGCGGCCGCGAAGCCCACGGCGCCAAGAGTAGCAAAGAGCCACTGCACGTTGGCGAGCGATCCGCACCCACAGGCCTGAAGCAGAAAAGCGTCGTCCACGCCCGCACGGTCCAAAAATGACCGCATCCCTGACGCCGTGTCAACGTCAACAATAGCGTTGACCAGAACTTCGTCAATCGCTGCCGCTTGGTCAAGTGCCATGGTTGTATCCGCGCGCAAGACACCGCGGAGCACCGACTGCAGCTTCTCGACCGTCTCGTGGCGCGCCGCAGCAAGAAGCAGTTGGAGGTGGAGAGTTCGGGGCAATGCGCGCACTGCCGTCACAATCTCGGCGTCTGTCGCGTCGAGCACGAGCGTCGGGTACAACTCGTAGTCGTAAAAGAGCTTGGCGGTGGCACTCGCATCAAGCGCTTCCCAGTCCACCTTGGCGTCGACAAGGTGCTGAAGCGCTTGAACATGGCCGCGCCCAGGAATGGTCGTAGCTTCCCACTCGAAATACACCCACGTTTTTTTTAGGGTGCACGGTCCGTGATGCAGCAGTCGTCGCACGACACCAGCGTGGCCGCGCGTGAGTGCCGCCGTGAGCGCTGTCTGCATCGAATGCGACGGCGTCCAGTGCACGGCCGTGTAGTCGGGCGACCCGGTTGAGAGCTCGCACGTGAACAAGTAGTCGACGACATCGTCGTGGCCGTTCGTGGCAGCGGCAACCAGCGCGTGCCACACGATTGCATGACCGGATGCGCGCAACCAATGCAGGATCTCGAGATGGCCGTTGGCTGCAGCGACGCAGACGGCCGAGTACGTGTTGGTCATCTCCGAGCCAAAGTGAACTTGGGGCTCAACGACGGAAGGGTTGGCGAGCGCGAGGTTCTGGGCGACGTCGAGGTGGCCCGCCGCAATCGCAAGTAAAAAGCTCCCAGGCGTGACGAGCTCGGCATCGGATGCGATGAATAGCGCGATGAGCCGCCAGTGGCCTTCAAGGATCGCAAAGTGGAATGGGAGCTGGTCTTCTTGGTGTGGAAACGTGAGAAATAGATTTTCCGTGTCGGCGCAGTCGGGCTCCAAGCGCTTGGTGAAGAAGGGCAGCGAGCGAAAGCGCGCGGGCAGCGGCCTGAGAATGGCGGAAAACTCCTTGCCGCCATACTCGGTATCGTCGGTCACATAGTAGTCAAACTGGACAGAGTCGCAGAGTTGACGGACCTCGCGTACAGCCCCCGACAGACCGCGCTGAAAACTTACGATGACGCGCCAAAGATCATGGGCTGTCAGCGCTCGACGGGTCATTTTGCAAACTGACGTGCAAGGTTGGCGATGACACACCATCACTCACCTAGTGGAACAATCACTCAGTGCCCTTGTAGCCGGTTAATGTAACCGGCTTCACGGATGTCTTACCACACGCAATTAGCGCGCCCGATTTCGGCCTTGCACAATGCACGGCTTTATCTGCTCTGGGCCAATGAGAGCGCATCATTGAGATCATTTTGTCCCAGGTTCCTTTTTCGTCCGGGCGCCGGACCGTCCGGGTGACCGGATAAAGTCCGGATAAAAAACCCGGACCGTCCGGGTGGTTTGACAGGGACTAAAAAAAGGATATCCTAGAAAAGCCTAAAAAAATATTTTTTCGTTTTTGGACGGATGCCGTCCACCAGCCATTCATTCCTCAAAACGCTACCCAGAACAATAATGACCATCGCCTCGACGGCAATGGCCGGCTAGCCCTCTGCCGGCGCATCATGTGGAGCAGCCACGGCGCACGCCCATGCGCGTACCACTACGACCGACGATGCCGACGACCACGCCGATCCAGCCACGAACACTACTACCACGCTACCGACGCCGATGCCAGTGCGGCCAGTACAGCGACCGACGCCGATGCCAGTGCGGCCAGTACAGCGACCGACGCCGACGCCAGTGCCACAACCCACGCCATTGCGGCCGACGACATACGCCGTTGCGTCCCACGCCGCCGCTACCGTTGAATTGCGGCGACGACGACCGGTGCTGTTGCGTTGCGGCGACGACGACCGACGCCAACGCTGTGACGACGACCGACGCCAACGCTGCGACTGCGACCGACTGTGAAAAGTTGGCTCGCCGTCGTGGAAATGTAGATGATTGCAACTGCAGGCTCGAACCACAACCAACATTCGTGTAAATGTAATGCGACCACGTCTTGACTTGTATTCATGTTCCATAACGCCGATAAGTTCCGGAACGGTGTGCAACAGCTCGACCGTCTTTTCAGCTTTGAGGTCTGCAAAATTGGCAGCAAGGGTCAAGGTCGACGCCGGGTTACCCAAGATTCAGCAACCGCACTCTTTCTTGAATCGCTCGCACACTCGACCGCTCAGTTAACGTAACGTTGTATAACAACTCGAACCAAATTGCTGCGAGCGACGACAGAGCATCGGCCCAGAAAAGCCTGCGCACCGTAGCGCAGCGGAGGTTGGGCGTTGGCTTTTGTGCAGGCCGTGCCTTGGCGACGAGTGAGCCCCGGTCTTTCCCGTTAAAGGAATTCATTATCGATGGGTCGCCCAGGTGGAGGCGGGTAGGCCCGCAGGGCCGCGCCGACCCTGGTGCGAAAAGAACCTAAAAATGTTATCAGTGCCACCGGCACGATCCGCGCGCGAGACCTTGTTATCTGGATTCGGCCTGAGCGCAGTTTCGTCGGACGACCGAGGTGCTCTGGTTGCGCCCCCGACACAAAGCACGATCTCATAGATTAAGTTAGCGCGAGTACGCTATGCATAAGAAACGCAATGTTCATTTTCCAATGTCCAACTTTCAGTTTCTTCGGTCATGCGCATCTGAAGGACGGCATGCCAATATCGAAAATTTTACGAGTTCCATCGCTAAATCGGCCAAGTGCTGGAGCCAGGGATTTCTCAATTTTCGCACGTTTTTCAAAAAAAATATTTCAGGACTTCAGGACTTCCGAATCCCTAAAACTATTATCCGGATCAAACCGGTCGCCCGGACAGTCCGGGTACTTTTATCCGGACGTTATCCGGACACCCGGACGGTCCGGCGCCCGGACAGGAGTGGGGCTTGATTTTGTCCAACCAGATACACCGAGAGTTAGTACAGGGAAGGACAGCACATTATTAATCGCATTTGGGCTGGCACTACGAGGCTCCTCCCACCTGTACTCTCTTGATGGTGCTTCGGTGGGTCTCACTCGCGACCCTGGCACGGCTGCTGACGAAGCCAAAGATCGTGGGGACGTAGCCTTCTCGGACTGTTGCCACGCTCCAAGCAAATCGCAATTCAGCGCTCGAGCAACTTGGCGAGCCAATGACGCTGCGGAATCCACGCTCTTATATTTTGCTTTCAAGTAGGGAATGGTTGCAGGTGGGGTCGTCGGCTGACCTTTCTTGATTCCACCAATCACAACCCTGCCTCCGGATCGAAGCGGCGCGGCCACTCACTTGTTGGCAAAGAAAAGTCGCAAGCGCACTCTCAGATCGTAGTGATGATCGCCGACATCAAGGGCTACCACGGCGTCATGTCCGTAGCGTGTCTCAAGCAGTGGCACACCCTCGGGGCTACGACGCTGGCGGCGACCAACACCAACAACGAAAACGTCACGGACAAGCACCAGTGGGTCGCGGTGGTCGATGGCCCGATCGAGATCTACGCGCCGCTCAGCCATGTGGCCCGTCTCGTGACCGTCGTGCAAAGAGCGTATTTTTGTGCAGTATTTGCCAACAAGGCTCTGCTCGCCAGCCTTCGCGACGCCAACGCGCCGCCGCTGCCCGTGCACCAGTTGCACATTCTCGAGAAGAACGCGCAGTGCCGTATGTCCATCGAAGGGGTCATGCACTGCTTAGGCAACGCTGGGATCGAGAGCGCATTCGTGACGTGCGCCGGCAACCGCTCGCCCATCGCAGGCACCGGTTCGCTGTTCCACCGCCACTGCGCCTGGGAGCGCGCTCGGCCGTCACCGGTCAATGACCACCCCTTCAGCATCGACCTTGGCACCAACGTCGTGGACCATCTGGAGACGCTCGGCATCGAGCTCTCCGATGCCTCCTACTACTTGATTGGTCTTGACCCGACCAAGCAAAGCCTCTACGTGGACCAGGACACGGAGCTCCGGACCATCCTGCAGACCATGGGGGGCGACAGACCGCTCGGGTACATTGTCCGCACGTTCGAGACGCCCAAGGCGCTTGGCTACAAGGATACGAGCGGCGCGTCGCAGGTTGTCCTAGTCGTAAACGGGTGGTCTTGACATGTGTCGTAGACGGTGCTTGTCACCAAGATGAAGATCTTTCCCGATATCCTGGACATGCTTGAGGGGCAGAACTACCATCGTGCGCAAACAGTCTCGAGAACGACCACGTACCGCCAACTCCAGCGCATGCGCCAGGACGGAATCGACTACATCGACGAGGTCTCGGCCAACGACTTCGCGCTGCTGCGCCACATGGCAGGGGCTCGCGTCGAGTTTACGGTCCAAGTCGAGCCGGCGTCCTACGACAACGACGCGCTCCCGACCATCGTCAACGTCTGCATGACCGAGCTCGTCCAGCCGTTCTTCAAGGACTGCTTCAAGGTCATCGATGGCTCACGTGATGGTTGCTGAGAAAGTTGGCGTTGTAGGCTGTGTCTCTGCGCGACTACAAGGAGAATCTCATGGCGTGGGTGCGCTTCCTCAAGCCCTCTGGCACGGCGCAGCACGGTAATCGACCGACCGAAGAGCTCCTCACGCGCTTCGCCGCCTTCCTCAACGCCCACGGCTACTATGTAAGTGAGAACGCGTCGCTCTACGATGCGTACGCGGCGAGCGCCCAAAACCCCAGCACCAACGACGAAGGTTAAGACGCAATCGTGGCATCCCGCGCTAGCAATTTCAATTCGATAATACCTCCTAATACCAACCAAGCCTGTCCGTAGTTGCTGCGTTGACCGAAGCAAGCAATAGTGATCTAGGTTCACATCAAGCAGACACGTTCGCCGCAGCAGGTCTTCGGCTAGCTCCAGGAGACGCATGAGCGCTGCAGCTGCTGGGTGTGTGCAACCATCGCATACAGTACAGTTGTGGGGCACTCGGTGTGAGCCTAGCCCAAGTCAACACTACTAAGCTAGGCCAGGCTTCGTATGTTTTGTCCTACGGGAGAGGCCCGTTGATGGGGGACTGTACAGCCAGTGGCAGCAGTCGGACGCTGCCACTTTGCGTTGTGCTTTGTGGTACACTCATTCTCTGTCTCGTGTGTTGCGGTTGGTTGGAATATCGTGCGCTGGTGCTGCCAGCAAATAACCGGTTTCGCCCAATGGCCTTGCTTCTTTCGATTCTTTTTGGCCAATGAACACGCGAGACCTCTCGACCGCATGCGAGCGCAGCATACAAACACCAAGTGTAAGAAAAACCCATAAAACGCCATTTCCCGTTGGCAGGCATGCTGGTGACGTTCGTCGTGGACACGAGCGCGTCCATGGCGCAGAAGAGCGCGTGTGGCATGTCGCTCCTCGACTTTGCCAAGTCTCTGGTCGAGACGATGGCCAAGAAGCTGCTCGCGCGCAGCCTCAACCGCGTCAACTACATGCACTTCATGCTCGTGACCTTCAGCGGCGTCGTCGTCGGCATGGAGCACTCGACCAACCGCGACCTCTTCTACCGCGAGCTCAAGTACCTCGAGGCGCGCGACTTGAGCGACGTCGGCGGCGCGCTCTCGACGGCCTTCGACTTGATCAACCGCGAGCGCGCCAAGATCTTTTGCGACAACTACGGCCTCGGGCGCCTGCCCTTCAACGCGCATATGTCGCACGTCGTGCTCATCACGGACGCCGGCGCGCTCACGACGCTCGACGGCGTGCAGCCCGACCTCGTCGTGCCGCCCACGAGCCTCTCGGCGCTCGACCTCACGCGCCAGCCCTTTCGCTGGGACCAGGTACCTATCGACGTATCATTCGTTCGCAGCTCATGCGCGTACGTAGCGCCTCTTTACGTTTGCCGTCCAGCTCTCGGCCGAGTCGCTCACGAGCAAGGCGCCGGCAATCAACCCGCCGTTCTACTCGTCGCTCTGCGAAGAGACGGGCGGGACGCTGCACCTCTTTACAAACGGCCGCGTGACCAAGCCGATGCTCGAGAAAGAGTGCGCCCTCGCTGCCATCACGCTTGTCCTCATTGTCTCCTAGGGTCGAGTCGATCATTGCGCGCATGAAGCCCGGCGTGCTCGTCAAGTTTGCGTGCGACGGCTCGGACGGCGAGACGTTCGCGCCGACGAAGAACGCACTCACGCCCAGCGCGACGCTCGGCCGCGACTACTCGTGGCCGATCCCGGAGGCGTTCTGGGTCGACCGCAACACGACGAGCCTCGGCCTTCGCGACGCGCACCCAACGCTCGTCTATAGGCGGTCGGTCGAGTCGCCGACGGACGCTGCGACCAACCAGCTCGTGCTCGACACGCTCAAGTTCCCGACCGACTCGTATCTGATCGAGTCGACTTTGAACCCGTCGCCGCCACGGGGCGCGCGCTGGCTTGTGTACATGGCCAACTCGAAGGGCGACGGCCGGCTGGGCGAGCCGTTTGGGTTTCTGCGTACGACGGCCGCGGCCACGCACCTCGTCCTGTTGCCGTACAACTACCCGGTACTCTTTTCGCTGCTCGTGGACGCGGCGCGGCAGCACCAGCCGACGACGCCGGCGAATGCGTGGCTCTTTCAGGCGAAGACCATGTCGCCAAGCTGGAAGGACGCGTTCTCGACGTACGTCCTGAGCTGCCCGAGCTACTACAGCCTCCCGCTGCGCAAGATCCTCAAGCGCTACAACCTCCACGAGCTCGTGCCGGAACTGCCCGAGAACGGACGTTGCTACCAGGTAAACTCATTTGCCACATCTGAAGCTCTCATCGGGACTAGGTGACCAACCACCTCACGCGTATGAAGGACGTGGCGATGGTCGAGAGCAGCGAGAAGCCGTCGGCGCGCCCAACGAGCAGCAGCAACCACGTCTCTCCCCACTCGACGCCGTCGCAGTCGCCGTTCCGGACGACAAAGGAGGTGGTGACGGTCCAAGCGCCGGGCCTCCTCACGCGGACGCAGCTGCTGCAGGCGCACGCGGCGCAGCGCCGGACGGTGGCTCCGTCGCGGGAGGTGGCGCGGGCGACCGAGTGGACCGGGACCCTCGCGCGCCTGGCGCCGAGCGCGTCGACCTTGGCCACCAGTGACCACGCCAAGTTTTCGCTGACGGTCGAGGTCATGTCAGACTACATTCCGACGGTGCTCAGGAACGAGCTGCTCCGCAACCCGTTCTCAGACCCGGAGAAGGACGAGCACACGGTCGAGGGTTCGAAGCGCCGCAAGCTCGAGTTTTCGCTCGGGTCGCCGTACAAGAAGTCGGCGACCAAGAAGGGCGACGACCTCATCCTGCAAGGCGAAGCCGCCGACGAGGCCGCGGCACTCGGGTCGCCGTCCTCGAGTCACTCGTCGCGCCGCCAGCGGTCGCGCCAGAAGTACAAGAAGCAATGGAAGACGTCGGGGAAGAGCAGCCCGACGCACCCGTCGCCCACGTCTCCGGAGACGGCGCTGCTCAGCGTCCCGCTGTCCGTGACGGGCGAGGACGCGCAAAAGGTCATGGCCGCGACCGCGACGCGTCTCGGTGTGACGACCAACGACGACGACGACGACGAGAAGCTCCTGAGTCGGCGCGTGTACCACATCATCATTGAGAACAGCAGCGTCTGGAAGGGCGTCGCTGTCCGCATTCGCAGCCGGTCGTTTCAGACCAAGGTACCACATATCGTCTTGCTTGCGTTCTGAGTTGAAGCGGTGTAGGACACGGCCACGGTGCTCAAGGACCTCGGCGAGATCAAGGGCGACAAGGCCGTCCGGCTCGGCTACCTCCACCTCGCGACGGGACTCGCCAAGGCCTTTAAGCGGTCGCTCCTCGTCAAGATGCTCGCCAAGACGGAGGCGTCGCTGCTCCAGGAAGTGTAATCAGTACAAACATCAACAGTCTCTGTTTTGTAGCAAAGCCGACGACGTCGTCGCTCGACAGTCTGCAGACAGCGCTGGTCGAGCGATGCGACGATCAAGGGCCCCTGGACGAGGAGCACTCCAAAGATGTGGGCTCGGGTGCTCGACTCGACGTCTCGGGAGCGCGCGATGCCGCTCCAGGCGGCGGTCACGAGCGCCTTGTCGGTCGTGACGCAAGTAGACGCCATGTCGATCGCCCTTGGTAGCTTTTGGCGCCACATGAGCATGTAGGGAAGCAGAGGTTAGGGTTGGGGTAGGGTGCGACACGCGCGCCCATAAGTCGACGTTGGCGACGTGCTGTGCGTCGGCGTCCGTGGGACCGACAAGCCGAGCCGTCCAGGGCCATCGGCAAATCGTCTTCTGCTCGCTCCAGCACGCGCCCATCACAACCACTTGGACAACCGCTGCACACGGTCAAAATACACTGGCTTGGATTGGTTTCCATACAGTGGATTGGGTTCCAGACAGTGCATGCCTCCAAATCGACAACACAGCATTCATTACGACGACAACAGTGCTCACTCGTTGTCGCTCATCGACGCGTCGTCGTCATCGTCGCCCATCGACGCGTTCTCGTCACCGTCGTCCGTGGCTTCCATCTTGACGGGCGTCTTCTTCTCTTCCGCGTCTTTGGTCTCTTCCTCCTCGTCTTCCTCGTCATCCTCAATCTCAATCGCAGACGAGTCGTCCTCAATCTCAATGGCCGACGCCTCGTCGCTCGAAATCGACGCTTTGAGTTTGGCCGCGGCGGCGCTCTTGGACTGACGCGCCGTCGTCGCCCGCGTCGGCGCCGCACTCGCCTTGGTGCGCGTTTTGCGCGACTTGCGGCTCTCGCCGTCGCTCTCGTCGCTCTCGATCGCGTCGCTCCCGAGCTCCTCCTCTTCCGTGCTATCAGATATCATGTCAGAACGTAGCCGCAAGCAGCCGGCGACGTACACGCTGTCGTTGGCCTCGCGCTTGGGCGCCGCGCGGTACTGCATGCCGCGCTTGTACACGCCCTTGCTCAGCACGTCCTTGCGCGTCCCGACGGCGTTGACCATCTACAGGCATTGACTGAACCTCAGCACACCCGTCCTGCAATACCCAAGTTTGAATCGCATCCGTGAGCTCGCACTTGAACGACTCGCCAAACGCGGCAGCCATCTTGGCCTTGAGCTTTGCATTCTCGGGCACGAGCGTGCACACTTCATCGAGCAAGATGTAGAGCAGCACGTCGTCGGTCGGCGGCGCGTCATCGGTCGGCGGCGCGTCATCGGTCGGCGGTGCGTCATGCGCAGAGACACCTGCTTCGACCTTGACGTCGTCTCGTTTGCGGCTACGTGCGATCGGCGCGTCGTCGTCGTCTTCGGTCTCGTCGTCGTTGGCTGGCGCGTCGACCGACCACTCGAGGTTCTGGAGCAGCGTCCACCACTGGTGCAGGAACTGCTTCTTGGACGCGCGCGCAATCACGTTGGTGACTTCGTGCAACGCGAGCATCTCGACGCAGACCCAGATCGCCACCTTGTTGTGGTGGTTGATGTCGCAGGAGCCGTCCCGCCGCGGGTGCTGCAAGAGCTGCAACAGGTACGGCGCCGCCTCGGCAAACGGCACCGACGACACGCCATAGAGCGCGCGCGACAGCACGTGGTGGCTCGCGCTGCTGATGAGAGCGCAGTCGGCCGCGTGGTAAAACACTGTGAGCATCTGCAGCGTCTCGGAGCAAAAGCCGTGCTCGTCCGAGATGACCATTTCCTTGAGGAACGGGTGGAAGTAGAGCTCCAAGAGGTGTTGCAGCGTCTACAGATCGCGTTCAGTGGAACTTGCAAGTGAAAGAGGAGCACCTCGAGGTCCTGGATGCGGCCGAGCAGGAAGAGCTTGATGAAGCCGCGGACCACGAGCGTCTGCGTCGGCAGGTCCCACTCGTCGAGCTCGCGCTGGTCGACGCAAAAGTAGGTTGCGAGGCCGTCGAGGATCACGCGCGACGTGACAACCTCGTCGTCCTCGACCACCGGAAGCACTTCAAACTGCTTGAACGCTGTGAAAAAGTCGAGGAGAACCTGCACGCATACAGAGAGTGAGTGAGAGTGAGGGCGAGTGAGAGTCGTACTTGGATGCACACGTGCTTCGAGTCGCCGTCTTCGTCGTCGGCGTTGAGGACACGCCAAAACACAATCGCGTGCTTGGCCGCCATGTGCTACAAAGTGTCAATGTATCAACTTGATATGTCGATGGCGTACGCGGTCGAGGAGGCAGTAGAGCCCGAGGCCTTCGAGGCCTTTCTCTCGGAGCGCGGGGATGTCGCTGTCGATCGCGGGCAGAATCATGTGCAGGACGCCGGCGATCGTCGCGTTGCGCAGGTTCTATATCCAAACTTCGTCAGTCGGCCCGAGAACGACAAGTACCTGGCGCGTAAACTGGAGGAGCTTGGCCGCGAGCTCGAGGCAGCGCAGCCACTGCAGCGTCTTGGGCTCTTCGAGCTGCTTCTCGAGGGCGAGCGCTTCGGCCGAGAGGGCGTCGTACGCCTGTGGCGAGAGCGACTCGTCTTCGAGCTGCGCGTCGACAGCGTCGAGGCGCTCCGTGAGCTCGGTCCGCGTCTCGAGGCTCATCGAGTCCATCTCTTGCATTTGGTCGTAGAGGTCGCTCGTGATCTCCGTCATGTACTGGACAAACTCAAACTCGGTCGACCGGCAGATCATCGCGAGCAGCATGACTGCGTCATGGAGCCACTTGGACTCGAACGCGATCGACTGGAAGAACGTTCGGAGAAGGTGGATGAGCTGGCGGCGCCCGACCTCGTCCTGAAAGTCCAGTGCGACGCCCAGCTGCAGCACGTACTGCCCGACGACGAGCACTTGGTCCTTCTCGGCCTCGTCGACGGCGTCGGCGAGCTACGTTGGCGGTTGAAACCTTGATACAAAACAAAATATATACCGAGGTGTGGAGGTGCCGGAGCAGATCGCAGTACGACGAGATAGTCGGCAAAAGCAGCTCGAGCATCTCGTCGTGCTTGATACTTTGATAGTACTGACATTGCTCCTTCCAGAAGAAGGCGTCGGCGACGCTAAGGGCACTCCCAAAGAGCGCCTTGTCCTTGATATTGGGCGTCGAGAGGTCGGTCGCGTGTGTCTTGAGGAGCCATCGACAGAGCGACGAGCACACGGCCGGCGCCTTCTCGATCGTGAGCTGCGACAAGAGCTATTCGAGCGCGATGAGGCACGGCAGCAAAATAACGCTGCTCTACCTCGACGGGCGACCCGTTCACGCGGCGCAGCCACGCGAGCACCATGTCCTGGCACGCCGAGACGACGCTCTCGTCGCGGTCGTTCATGCCCTGGTCCAGCATGTGCACGCGGTCCGACGGTGACAGGATCGCAGCCGTGTCGACCTACCCATTGATGTCACTAGGAGAAGGCCAAGCAGCGCTCTCAGTTACCGTGGCGAGCACCTTGAAGACGGTCGCGCGGACGTCGGGCGAGACGTCGCGGACGCGGATCAAGAGGTCGCCGATCGACGTATTGAGCACGGCGACCTTCTCCGTGGCGGCAACACGGACCTCCCTTCGCGCCAATGTAAGGCCAGGACGTACGGAGACATGCGTACTTGCTCGGGTCGGTCACGGCGAGGCGCAGCACGGCGGTAGAGATCGCTTCGACGTCGTCGACGGAGAGCGTTTGGAGCAGCTGCAAGGCGACGACGCTCGCGGCGCGGATGGTAGGGAACTTGTCTTTCGCGCGCTGCAGTATGATCTTGGCCACGTCCTCCCAGAGTTCGTCGCTACATCCCATCGCATGAGGCCATGGAGTGGGTCAATGGCACGTACGAGATGTCGGTAGCGTGGCCGAGCAAATGGCCCGTGAGCTGCGTGCAGTGGAAGCGGACGTTGCGGTCCTCGGCCTCGCAGCCGCGCAGCGCAAAGCGCACGAAGCGCGCAAAGTCGCCCGGCGCGTAGCTCACGGCGCTGACAATGCGAAGGAGGCGCTCAATGTCCTGGCTCGACCGGCCGCGGCCGTCGTGCTTGAGAGGCCCGACGAGCGCCAGTTGCAGCGCGTGGAGGTAGCAATTGGCGTCGCCATCGTACAGCGCCTGGAGGCTCTGGAGGTTCTTGGACATGTGGAAGCCCGCGTCGTGCTCAGACACGTCGTCCACGACCGCGCCAAGGACCTCGTGCAGGTCGGCCCGCAGCACATCGCCGTCCGCTCCTGCCATGCTGCCGTTGCTTTTTTGAATTAAAAAAAAACAGCCGCCGACATGTTTAAAACAGTCGAAAGCAACACCAAGTTCTTGGTCCAGTCGGTCGGCGCCGATGGCGACGAGTACGATGATGCAAGGCCGCAGCTCAACAATGTCCTAGCTGGAATAATCAATTAGTTAGTAGTCGGAGGGCGGCGCTGACGCGCCTATGCAGGCACTGAATCCGCGCCAGCTTGGCGCCAAGAATTCGGCAAGATACACGGAAAGGTATCGGCGTCAACTTCAAGTGGTCTTCCCCAACGGAACAACATAGTGCACTATAGTCGACTAGAATATACATGAAGGACTAGTATTGGCGACCCTAGTCGCGCGTCTCGCGGTAGCTGGACGCCATCGACAAGGTGCGCACGGCCACGGTTTGCGGGGCATCGAGCAGGCGGCGCACAGCCTCCTTGCGCTGGCGGCGGATCTTTTGCCGTCGGCCAGACGAGATCGCGGAGAAGGTGAGAAGCGTCCAGAGGACGGCCAAGGCCGCGAGGTAGAAGCTTACGCCAAAGCCCCAGCAGCTCCAGTGGCGCCAGGTAGCGCAGGCCACGAGGTTTTGGTTGACGACCTCAATGTCGGTGATGCTGGGCTTGAGCTGGAGGCTCCAAAGCATCAGCACGCAGAGCTGCAAGAAGCCTAGTGAATCCATGACGCAACAACTCCTCAAGCTATAAATGACCGTTGGCCATCGTGGTGAGGCCCGCAACTGTCTCGGCCGCCGTCCACTCGAGAGTGTGGAGCGTGCGCAAGTTGAACGTCAGCGCCACGAGGTTTAACGCGAGCTACCATTAGCTAGTTGGCACGGAGAGCGCAGAAGGACGTACCGTCAACAGATGCAGAACGTGCGTCAAACTCCAGGTCGCGTCGCAGAGCTTGCTTTGGTAGTCGCGCAGCGTGCCGTACATCCAGTTGGGCGCGTTAAAGTCGCTGGCACTACTCGTGTCACTCGTACAGTGGCGAGGAGCAGTCGCTTACCAAAGGGCGCCGTAGCTAACATACGTGGAAGAGGCCAGGAACGGCGTTGTGAGCTGCGATGCGTGCTCGACAGTCGAGTAAAACCCAAAGAGGCCAAAGCCCTGGATGACGTGGACGTTGTTGGGCGCGTCGAACGACTGCGTCAGCCAGAACGGATGCAGCGTCGCAGCAAAGAGGCAGCCGAGGCTGAGCAGAGACAAGGTCGCCGCTAGAGAAGAGAGCAGTGAGAGGCTCGTCCGCGAAGAGCGATGTGAGCGCACCGGTGGCTTGGCTTCGCATCGACTGCGTCAGGATCAAAGGATGTTGGACGATCGATCGCCTGTCC